AACTCTCCTGTCTGATGAGCAGGTATTTTCTAATTTCTGGCCCATCAGTATGTCTTCTCAACCCCTGGAGAGGGACGGAGCTCTTTCTCCTTCCTGCTGGATTAGCGCTATGACTGTCCCTGACATTCTGCCACCATGGAAAAACTCACTCAGAGCTGTGGCCAGCAAACAAAATCCCACAGGTGATTATTTAAAAAAAAAAAAAAAAAAAAAGGTGATGCAATGAGTAGATTGGGATTAAGCTCTGAGAAGTTTTTAATTTCATCTCCGCTATTTGCTATTCGTGCAGCCTGGGACAAGTGAAGTGACTTCTCTGAATCTCAACTTCCTTGTGGACGTAAGCTTTTGTCAGGTCGTCATGATGACAGCCTGAGATCCCTCCACTCTTGTATCTTGCACAGTCTCTGGAACAAGGTGAATCCCATAATTATTCTCTCTCTGTTAAAAAAAAAAATGATACCAACCCCATATGTTGTTTTGTAAACCCAGAATCACCTTATTTCAAAAAGAACACTGAGAAAGCTTAAAAGGAAAGACAGAGGACTGAGAGTTGAGCAAGGTTCTGAACAAAAACAAAAGACAACCAACAATAACAGGGGATTTGCCATAATCGTTTCTGAAGATCTTTCCTGAGTAAGGCGGACTCTTGCACAATGGCTAGCCGTGAATTTGACAAACAGAATGATTGTTTTGGTCTGTGGTAGGTCAGAGAACAACGGTAGGCCAGAAGGTCATGGAAAGGATTTAAGTTGGGTAAATCTTTCAACCCCTTCTGACAGTTCTAGTGGAGTCAGCCTTGATAGAAACTGCTAATGTTAACTTCTGGGTTTTCAAGGACCCCCACACAAGTCGACACTTTGAGTGTTAACAGGCATCACTGTGTTTGCTTTGGATGCAGTAATAAGTGCAACGAGAATGAGACCTTCCCTAGATTCTTAGACTTGATCACTGCTTGGATTTCACTGAATTGAGGAATGAGGTTTCTTACTGATGCTGCAAGACTAGATGATGAGCTCATAGCCCCTGTTTTGTAGCTGCTGTAGGCAGGAGACCAAAGCCAGGCTTTCAGCTTCCATCTGACACATTCAGAAGAGCAAACTCATGGTCACAATAGCTCTGTGTGTGTGTGCTTGATCGCGTCATGACCCCATGGACTATAGCGCACCAGGCTCCTCTCTGTGGGGCTTTTCAGGCAAAAATACTGGAGTGGGTTGCCATTTCCTACTCCAGGGTATCTTCCTGACCTAGGGATCCAACTGGAGTCTCCTGCATTGGCAGGAGGGTTCTTTACCACTGCGCCATCTAGGAAACCAGTCATAAGATATATTTTGCATTTTCAGAGTGTGTGAGCCTTTTGCTCTGATTGCCTTCCACTGGTCTTCAAGCACACCCTCAAAATTCCTGCCGTCAGCCACACTCATTCATGGTGATAGATATGGATAGGATCTCAGGGAGGCTTGAAGCTTTTTATTTGATGATGAAGAAGAGACAGTATTGTGTGTGAATCAGCCTGTCTCCCACAGACCCATGGTATCAAGATGAAGAAATGTCATTAAGAAAATCAAGGCTACACACAGGAGTGAAAATGCCCAGTAGTAAATGTGAAGAGGGAATTCTGCTGTTTAAAATAATGATAGTATCAAGAGTTGGACTGTTTATAGTAACCCCCTCTCCACTATCTCTTGGAATACGTTCCAAGACCCCCAGTGATGGCTGACACTATGGATGGTACTTAACCCTGCATATACCATGTTTTTTCCTATACTTTCGTAGCTGTGACAAAGCTCTTATTTAATCAGTTACCTTTAACCTGGGGTATTGAGATTCTGCCTTGTCATTCACAACAATGTGTAGACACTTCCTCTGGGCTCTCTTACCCTCCCCAACCCATAAGACACTAGCCACCAGAGATGACCCCTGCTTACCCTGAATGGAGAGAAAATTTCTTCAGCACAGGATTTTCCTGGGATTTTGGAATTCATGGTTCAAGTTCCTGCTCTTTGTAGACTCTGAGGACCCTCAACTTTTTCAGTCCAGGAGGCTCTTTCTGCTCGTCCTCTGGAACAAGAACTAGCTTGGAGGTCAGCTCCAAAACAGGGGGCCTGAACTCCTAACCAGAGCGCCCTCCCCCTCAGGCCCTAACCCAGCGGCAGTTCACACCTCTCGTTCTTTGAGTTCCTCTTCCTCTTTCCATGACCAAGCTTTAAAGTTAAGGAGCCGCAGCTTTCATCTCTGCACCCCCAGCAGTTTGCCTGGTATACTGCATTCAGAGGGTGCACCATAAATGTCGGGTGCTGTAAGAAGGAATGGGAGATGGCTCAGTCAGCATGAGGCCAGAGGGAGAATACAGGGGCCTCTGACGGGCCCACCCTATGGGATCTTTCCACTGGGGTGACTCCAGCCAGAACTGGGAGGGACACTTCTCCAGCACTTCCTCAGCCAGGATGGGCCCCTCACTGTGTTTCCAGAACCACGCTCTTCCAGGGCTTAGGAGAACACTGATGTCACAGAGGAGATGGAGCTCAAACTGGGAGACTGGGAGGCGTTTTCTCAGAGAAGAGCCAGGCATCAGTCAATCCCCTAGAGTCCCAAGTGTGCTTTCTAGGTCAAGACTTGAGAAAAAGCCCAGCCTCCTCTTTCTTAATGCCATGCGCTCAACTCCTGTGACCCAGTTGCCCATCTTAGGCCACCCCAGCGCGTCTCCCAGCTGTCCACTTGCTGGTGCAGTCCTTAGACCCCCAGGGCTCCAGTAATGAGTCTGTGTGCCCGGGCCTCCAAAAGGCCCACCTCCTGCCAATTTGGGAAACAGGAAGAACCAGGTTTTTACCTCCCTACCCCCTCCTTTCCTGCTGCTTCTAATAACTGCTTTACATACGGATTGTCAAAAACACATCTGTCTCTTTCCTCAATGGATGTGGTGGGAATTACCGTTTCCTATCCAGGATCCTGGGAACACTCGGCTCTTCTGTTGGGGTATAATCCCCCAGGTTACATCTCAGCGACAATGGAACAGTTGGGGACTGGGTTCTGCCCCCCCGTAAGGCCCTTGAGGTCGCAGGCCAGGTCTTTTCATCACCATCCTGATAGGAATCTAGCACCAGAGGCTTACGCATATTTGGCAGTTGGTACATATTTATGAAAAGAAATGGGATGAAATGATCTGGAATGAATAGATTCATTAAATGAGGCATGATCCAGCATACCAGCCATCTGCAAAAGAATGTAGCTATTTAACAAGCATTTAAAGTATCTTTGATTCCTTTAGTTGGCCTCGATAATAATCTGCTTTGGGTAAAGGGAAGCATAAGCAATGAAAATGTATGTCAGAATCTCTGTGAACCATGGTATACTCCTTAGAGGGGCCGAGGAGAAGAGAATGACAGTGTCAAGTGATGTGGTGGGCATGGAGCACCCTGAACGCCCACACGTTGTTGGAGGCAGAATAAAACTGCAGAAAACTGTTTTAACAGCTTCTCAAAAAAGTTAAACACACGTCTACCTAATGACCCAGAAATTCTACTCCTAGACATTTAACAGAGAGAAATGAAGGCATGAATCTACAAAGAACCTTGTCTGAGAAGGTTCATAGCGGTGTTACTTGTGAGAGCCAATGACTGGAAACAATGAGACATCCACTGATCAGAAAAATGGATAAACAAACTGATATATTTGAAATTGAATATTATTCAGCAAAAAAAAAAAAAGAGAAAGATGAACTGCAAAATACACAGAAGCACAGATGAGTCAGGGAAATATTATGCTGAGCCAAAGAAGTCAGACACAAAAGCCCAAACTGTACACACGGTTCTACTTGCTGGAAATTCTAGAATATGCAGAACCAAGCTTCAGTGGTGGGAATCAGACTCAAGGTTGCTTCTGAGGTGAAGATTGACTGGAAAGCGGCACAAGAGGACTTTTCGAGGTGATGGGAACCTTGTGTGTCCTGGCTCGAGGTAGTGAGCTCACACAAGCACTTGTGTCCTTCACGGCACAGCTACCAGCGCTGACGAGCGTTCTGCTGTCTATCAAATTATAGTTCAGCTTCAGAAAATCATTTTGGATGCCTTGTTTCTCAAGTCTCAGACAAAGAAAAGCCTCGAGTTGGAGAGCAGAAAGCAGCCGGGGGAAGTCATGTGGTCCCCCACCCCTCGTGCAGACGGAGAGCCCCAGAGGAGAAGTGACGTGTTCACAGCCGCTGAGACTTCGTGGCAAAAGCAGGACAAGAATGCAAGACTCTTCCTGGCAGGAGAGTTGGAGCCATTTCGTGGGAATGTTGACAATTACATCCGCCCGCACTCTCCTGGCTTTCATATGATCAGTTAACTGGGCCCTGAACTCCGGGCAGCCTAGCTTACCCGTCTGCCCTGGGCCCCTTCACAGCCTTTTCTGACGGTCCTTCGCCTAGGAGGATGATTTCCGAGGCCCTGTCTCCACGAAGGCCAGTGTGAAGCGAGGCTCGCTATTAATAGGAGAAACCAGAGTTGCGTTGTCTCTGAATAGAGGAACTCTGGTTTCTCGGTCCTTCTTTGGTGGTTGGAGCATCTCTAAAAGAGATTCAACAGTTCTGAGGACAAGCAGAGGAAACTAACAGCCAGGAATCAGAAAAAACATCCTTGGGTCAGATTCAGGAGAAATCCACACATCTACAGACAGAGGTCATCAAGTCAAGGAGAGGAGGGATGAGGCGTGAACCCCCGGTTACCCCGCGTGGCCCCTGCACACCGGGCCGGGCTGCTCGCTGTGTTCTCAGCGGTCCTCCTCACTCGCCGGACTCGGGACCCCACTGGTGCCCTCCACCCCCACCGCTGGCTCTCTGCCCTTTGCTGTAATCAGGCATCACTTAGCATTCCCGGGAGGAGTGCAGAGAGGGTGGGTCCACGAGGCGGTACGTGGTCTCCAGACCCATCCCTCCTGAAGAAGACAGAGAAGGGGCCTTACTAAACCACAGCACAACCCTGAGACGGAACCTGAATCCTGAGTCTTAAACAGGCCAGGACAGGATGCGCTCTGCAGAACCTGGCTACACTGGGCATCAACTTAGACGGAAGGCCTCCGGCGGCTGGCTGACGTGGCTCCTCGACTGCTCCTTGTTCAGCCCGGGCGTCCTCAGCAGGTATCCTTCACTGAGGACCTCTGTCCGTCCACTCTTACCAGACGTGGCAATCGTGGGAAGGTGGCCGCGAGTCCCCAGCTAGAGGGTCTCTCTCTTGGAGACAGGAGAGCTAGCTAATAGCTCTGCAAAACTTCTCTGCAGCCTTCTAGGGGGCTATCTCTTTTTTTTTTTTTCCATTTATTTTTATTAGTTGGAGGCTAATTACTTTACATCATTGCAGTGGTTTTTGTCATACATTGAAATGAATTAGCCATGGATTTACTAGGGGGCTATCTCTTATTTCAGTGCCAGGCATTCTGTAGATGCTTTAAAAACAAACAAACAGACATACTGATTGTGTGAAGAATGAGTGAACGTTTACTTTCTGGAATCTGCGGCTTCTCATCTGCATGTATCCTGCGGGGAGGAACCAGCTGGAGCTTCGGAATCCAGTCAGTCTGGTATTGAAGGGTATGAGTCGTTTTGCCATGATGCGCTTGGGCATAGCACGGAACTTCTCTGAGCCTCAGCTTGCTCAAGTTCTATTAATATGTGGAAAAAATAATAATACTTAAAGCAGGGGCTTTTTAGCCTGGAGCCCTTAAAATTGAATGTCATTTTGGGGCACATATGTATTTTTATGAAGAGAAGAGTTTTAGATTTCATCAGATTCTTTAACTAGGTCAGTGAGTACTTAAAAAAAAAAAAGGAAGAAACCACTTAGCCTTAGCCTCTTTCATAGAGATAGAGATAACATATATGAAGTGCCTGAGAACGCCAGCTCCTTGCAGTTTCTGTACAAACCCCAGCTGGGTGGAGGGAGCCAACCCTTGTGTGTCCGCAGCCCTCCAGATACATAAACTTTTGAGCAACCAGCCAGCACGTCATAGGCAAATCCTTTCCTCACTCTGGCCTCGGCTGGAAACGTCAGGCTCGGTGTTCACCCAGACCTCGCAAGTGTTAACATCCTCACTGTCTGCAGAAGGACCCACGTGATTAGCTCTGCGCCTCATTCTCCAGAGGGCGAAGGAGAGTGGTCTCTGCCTTTTAGCTCCAACAACGTCTCAGTCGATGCATGGAGGTTAATTCTGGTGCAGAGATGATCAGGAGTCTGGGAAGAGGGTGGGACGGCGATCTCAGGACCCTGCGAGGAACAGAATAGGTGGCGACCTTCAGGCTGGTTCCTTGGTCAGGGGTGGTGGGGTTACAGTGCCAAGGTTTTGTAGGAACAAACAGGCTCAGAGGCAGAGTGCAGGTGGGGTCACGACTTCTCCGCTCGCTTCCAATCTCTCAGTCAGCTGCGGAAAGGAAACCGAGATAATCTCTCATATTAGGAGGACATGAATTTTTTTGCATAGATTTAAGCCGAAAAGAACCTCACTGGTGCTCTTCCTCTCTGGCTTGCTTCCAGGGGCTCTTGAAGCTGTCTCCTGAGAAGAGCACATCTCCTGTTGACCTCTAGGTTAGGGCAGCCTTTGAAATGCACCCTTTAGATGGCTTTGGGGAAGGCAGGTAGGTGAACTAACTGCCCCCCCCACCCCTCGCCGGGTGTGAAGGCATCCAGGGGAGAGGCGCAGAGAAGCTGGCCACCCTGGTTAGGTTAGTTCTCACATGGATGCTTTAGGGGCTTCCCAGGCGGCTCTGGTGGTAAAGAGCCCACCTGCCAAGTGGGAGATGTAAGAGGTGTGGGTTCGATCCCTGGGCTGGGAAGATCCCCTGGAGGAGGGCATGGCAACCCACTCCAGTATTCTTGCCTGGAGAATCCCATGGACAGAGGAGCCTGGTGGGCTACAGTCTATGGGATTGCAAAAGAGTTGGACACGACAGGAGTGACTTAGCATGCACACAGGGATTCATTAGTTGTCTCCAAGCGTAGGCTGAGTGACTGTGTTGAACAGAACACATTAGGTGGGAAATTGCGGCACTGGCTAGGTAAGTGGGGAAGACCGTGCACTTTCAGGATGCTCGGTGTCTCCACCCTTTCTGTGAACTGGATGCCTCTGTGTTGTGGATACCTTAATGTCATGTTTGAGTATGACCTATTATTGTCTTTCATCCAGCTTAAAACAGTTTAGTAATTTGTCAACACAGTGAATTTCCTGGATGGCGGAGCTCCCTGGGGAGGCAAGGGCTGTGCCAGGTTCTTTGCCATCCAAGTGGGTCATGGGATAGACAGTCCTCTGGAGGGGACCCCCACCCCCACCCCAGGGAGCTGCTTAACTTTGGAATGTGGGAAGGCCTGGATGTTAGCATGTTGATGGGGTGAGGGGTGGGAATTGCCCCACTATGCAGAGTGTCCTCGAGACAGGACTCAGCCTTGGTCCTGCCCTCCAGTAGCTCTCAGTCTAGCGCAGGAGACAGAGGGGTCTCATCTACAGAGGGGTTCTTTTTTTTTTTTTTTTACAGAGGGGTTCTTGATGCTGTTCAGTCGCTGAGTCAGGTCTGACTCTTGGCAGTGTGTTAGGTGCTGGAAACAACACCCACAAAACCCCTCCACGTGCTGGAGGAAGAAACAATAAACTGAATAAATGCATGCATTCTGCGGAGCGCTAGACAGGAGGGTGGAGAGAAATCGGGGGAGGCGAGTGGGAGACGCAGGGGCGGAGGGCAGGCACTCGTTTACCGAGGATGGGCAGGGGAAGCCCCGAGGGGCAGGTGACCTTTGAGTCCACAGGTGGAGGAAGCCTGCAGGGAAGGGTGTCCAGGCGAGGGGAGCAGAGAGCGCCGGGACCCTCGGAGAGAGGAGGCCTGCAGGAGGGGCAGTGCCTCCCCGCCCCCCACCAGGGATGTGCAGAGGACGAGAGTGATTGAGGTTTCCGCGCCAGGGTACCAGCTGGACCCTGACCCACTGGTGTATTTGAATTAATAGAAATGGTGGTGTCTCTGGTGTCTCCTAACCCCCGACCCACTGCCCATAGCTCTCACTGTCTGTGCCATAAATTGGTATATTCCTGTGGTAGCAAGAACAGAGGCACCCCTAAAGGTGGGCACATTCTACATCAAGTCCTTGGGAGCATGGTATCCTACACAGCAAACGAGACTTTGCCGATGTGGTAATGTTAAGGGTCTGTGCAGGGAGGTTATGAGGGATTATCCAGGTGGGGCCGTCATAATCACCAGGGTCCTTCCAGGAGGGGGACAAAAGAGACGGGACAGAGGAGGTGGAAGTCACAGTGACACAGGGCGGCAAGCCACGAAGTGCAGGCGGCCTCTAGCAACCGGATAAAGGAGGACTGGGTTCTCCCCAGGTGCCCTTGGAAACCACACCCCAGACAGCACCTTGATTTTAGCCCCTGCCCCCTGCCCCACTGAGACCCACTTGAACGTCTGGCCTCTAGATCTGCAAGATAATAAGTCTGTGTTGTTTTATCATTGCTAAGTCTGTGGTTAGCACTTGTATAGGCAAAAGGAACATAATACAATTTCAAAATTATTTTCTTTAATAAAAAATAAAGTGCAGGGCCCCTTTCCAGTTCTTTGCAAATAATAGTTCATTGTTTAATCTCCATAAAGATTCCTCAAAGTAGGTGCTGTTAGTATCTCCATTTTACAGTTGAGGTCTTTCAAGCACAGAGGGGTTAAGTAATCTGCCTGGCATCACACAGCTCCAAGTGACACAGGCAGGATTTGAACCCAGGCCATCTGGCTCCAGGAGTCAACACATTTCTGCTCCGATTGATTTTCTTGTCCTGGCGTCAGTGACCCAAGCAAGGCCCGTGCCCTTGTCTGGACAGACCACTGTCTCTGCTCTTCTGCACTCTCACCTCAAGTGGACATCACAACAGCAGGCCCATGGACCGTGCTCAGAAAGGACCTCAGAAACCACTAAATCAATATGGAAACTGAAACTTGGTTTCTGTTTCTGAGGGAAAATACAGAGATAATCAATCTTTTGTTTTAATTCTATAATGTAACCCAATACTCTTTATAGAGATACAATTCATAAAATGCACAAATCTTTTAAAATGTGCAACTCAGTGGCTTCTAGTATATTCTCAAGGTTGTAAAACTGTCACCACTAACTGGTTTAGGAAATTTTCATCATTCCCCAGAAGTTCCATACCTGAAAGCAGTCACTTCCCCTTCCCCCCACCCCCAGCCCCAGAATCACTAGCCTGTTTTCTCTCTCTGTGAATTTGGCCTGGAGAAGGAAATGGCAGTCCACACCAGGATTCTTACCTGGGAAATCCCATGGACAGAGGAGCCTGGTGGGCTACAGTCCATGAAATGACTGAGTGACTAAACCACCACTGCCATGAATTTGCCCATTCTGGACATTCTACAGTATATAAATGCAGTCATTGAAAATGTGACTTCCTTCATTTAACATAATGTTTTCACGATTCATCCACATCACAGCTTGTATCAATCCTTCATTATTTTTTCATGGCTGAATAATATTCCTTCGTGTGGACATATATAAGTGTGTGAGTCAGTTCACCAGTTGATAGGCATATGGGTTGCGTCCATCTTTTGGCAATTATGAATGACCCTTCCATGGACATTCATGTCCTCTGTTTCCTCGTGTCTAAATTAGAAAGGACAGCTAGACAGGACCCAGTAGCTTCCAGAACCCTGTTTACAGAACCCTGCAGGGAGGTTGCTGTTCTTACAGCCATGGCTCTCCAGTGAGATGCTGACACTCCCGGGAAGTGAACCCTCAGTTTCAAGGGTCAGCAGGCCCTCTGGAGGGCCTGCAGTGTTCCCTGTCCTGATGGGGGCGGGAGGAGGTTCTGGAGCTGTTGTCTCTACCTTGTGTCTCCCCATGCCATGCCTTCCCCTCCCTGGGCCTCAGTTTCCCCACCTTTAGAGGAAACTCTTCACAAAATGGGGGTGCCGATACAGGAAGATGGAGCCACTCCAAGCTAATGTGCTGTTATGGTTATGTTTTTCCACTGGACCCCCTGAAATACACGATGTTGTACTGATTTATGGTGTGCAGGTCATATGGATTGCATCCGCTGAACAGAATACAGTTACCTTTTAAATGTAATATGGTATGTAATTATTTATGATGGAAT